CTTGATTTTCCATAGTGTTGTAGATTGGAAAATGGATACTATCCCTAAAGAGTAACATTAAAAAACATAAGAAAGCATAGCAGAAACATACTAAATTAACCGCGTAAACAATGCAACTTCTTTTAACATGGACAAACTTACTCTATGCCAATTTTCTCCACCTGATCAGGAATTAGCTGACGAAGATCAGTGATGTTGTTTTCTGGGTACATAAGGAAAAGGTTATCAGTCCTGTGATCTATCAACTGTGACTATTAGACTATTATTATTAGCAATAATGGCAAGTTAAGAATGCTCTCAGATGTCAAGCCTTTAGGACGGGATGGTCCTTTTGTTTATCATTTATTTATTTATGTAGCACATTTAATTACAACAGCAATGTTGATCAAAGTGTTGTACAAAACTACAGAATAACTAGTTAAATAACTTATAATATTAGTACCAAACATCAAATACCAAATAACTCTCATACTGTATTAAAAGCCAGTGAATAAAATGTGTTTTAAGATAAGATTAAAAAAGATTGACAGTAGGAGCTTGTCTGCTGTGCAGGGGTAGATTATTTGACTTCCAGGCTTTAACTTCACCAAGACACTGAAGAAAGGGGGCAGAACAATTAGAAGTGGGGTTTTTTTTGTGTGTTTAAAGTGTTAAAAGGGGCAAGCTTTTTATTCTCTAAAAAATAACTACCTGATATCATTCCCCTCTCTTAATTTGAATAGTACCCTTTTTTTTATTTGCAATCTATGAAAATGTTTTGTTTCCATACTGATATTATTGAAAAAACTTTCGAATAACTGAACAATTCTGACACTAACAAATAGATTTGTGTTACAATAGATGACAAAAATAATGTCGAATCAAAATGAATTCAATCTTAAGTAAATACTTTGGATTTCCTCGTAAAAATTAAGGGAGGAGAAAAAGAGAAATTATTAGTTCAACACATGCAGAAATTAGAACAATTAAATACTTGTATAAAGTAAAGATGTATTCAAGCAATAAGATGAAACCAAGTTTGTAAACAACAGAAACATTTTGCAGAATGTAATTTCCATTATACTCATATTTCTTCTTTATTTCTGCTTTCTTAATGACTCTTTGTCAATAACACATTACAGACACATTGGCAATCATTTTCATACAATCATTTGTGATAATTGCAATTTAAAATCCGATTATCAAGAGACGTGTTATGCATGTTTGTGTCAGTTACCTTGGCAACAGCAATGAATCTGACTTCAGTCTGCATGAAAAGGATGTCCTTGTTACTGATGATATGCACTTCAAGCTGTCCTCTTTATATAAAGAGATGTTTGGTGTTCAGTCTCCTCCCCCTGTGCTTTCTGTATTTCTATTTGTGTGTGTGTGTGTGTGTTGTGTGTGTGTGTGTGTGTGCTTGTGTGTGTGTGTGTGTGTGTGTGTGCTGTGTGTGTGCGTGCGTGTGAGCGTGTGTGTGTGTGCCGCCGCAGTGGCGTATCTATGGGTGTGCGTTGGGAATCACTTGCTAATATGAAATTAATAAACAATACTTTCAAGAAAAGCCCTTTTGTACTTTTAAGTTTATTTTCCGATCTCTCTAGTCTCAGCTTGCTCAGCTACTAGCCTCCCTCTTTCTGTATTCTGTAACCTTTTCTTAGTCTTTCGAAAAAACAAAAACAAAAAAACAACAATAGACAGTAGGCAATACGGCAAAAGTAACCAGTGGTCTGTCCAGCTTTGAAAAGCCAAGGTCAGAATAGTAAACATGGTTATTTGAATTGCAATAGCTAGCTCAAATATAAAAATGTTGCACTGCAAACACTGTTGGCAATTTTAGCTTGGTGAGGACAGCCTATATAACAATGGAGGTGTATATAAAATGTTAGGCTGGCTTTTAGCATCATCACGTGGACCAGCAAGCACCTCCTGTCAAAACATACTCTCCTGGTCCAACAGGGTAGACTTGCTCTCGGAATGGCTTCACTCTACAGGTAAAAACCAATCCCAAAATAATCCTCAGCTGTGGGATCACTCTCAGGGCTTTCTGTTGATTCAGGGTCTGTTGACTTAAAAGCATTTTTCATAAAAACTGTCCTATTGCTGTAGCATCAGCAAGAATTTTAAGTGAGGAATTGAGCAGAGCCGGCTCCTCAATTAATTTCCTTTCGCTGCTCAGCTGTCACACAGCGACACACAGTGGCTCAGCCATGCTCAAATCCCTCCACATTGTGGCATTTTATTATTTCGCCTTTCGCGCCCTTCAAACACAACTAAATGCAACCCGTTAGATTGAGCAGTATGCCCGGTCAGTAAGTTACAGAAATGTCAGCGACTTCGTCTGTCATAAAGTTTGCGTTCATAGAACACAAAGAGTTTTTGGTAAATGCAAAAAAGAAGCATTCGGCAAAGTGCAGGTTTTGCAAAGTCTCCTTGACCGAGACAGCCGGGACTACCTCAACCTTCACCAGGCACCTGGAGCGCAAACACCCTCAAAGGTAAGCTAGCCAGTAGCCATCTATCCATCTTCAAACTCTTCTAACTACCTTTCCAACCTCAGATGACCAGGTCATGTTTATGTAATATTGTTATTTATAATGTGTTCTTCAAACATTATAAATTATGTAGGGACAGTTTTTTTGCAACCGTCCCTGCAGACTTAACTTTAACTTAACGTTACGTTACATGCTATGTACAGGTAGCTAGCGCTAGCAGTGGCTATCAGCTACTTAAACAATTTTCATTAACTTTAGGTATTTTGGTGAATTCATTGAGCAGAAATATATCGAAACCATTTCAGTGAGCACTTTAAGGGCTGTTATGGTGTGGTTTGTTGTGGACTTTAATGGGCATATTTATGTGGTTGCTGATTCGTAAGTAAGGACGGGCATTTCAAGAGTGTCCCTATAACATTGCTCGGCTAACAGCGGCATTCTCGACAGTGAAGCCCAGATCAGAGCGGTCTATGACTCTGGTCCAGATAGCACGAATCGCAAAACTGAGTCCTAAGGTTCTTAAATCGAACTTAAGGACCTTTGACTATGACTTTCTTAGGTGTTTTCTACTAAACCAGTCCAGTGTGTAGGGGCTATTTTAGCATTATTAGACAGTTATTTTGTATTGGTGTAACTTCAGACTTTATTGAGTAGTTCACTTCTTGTCAATACAGCTGTGTCTGATAGCTGACTGGCAGGAGGAGGCTTAATGCAACCTGCAAAGTTAATGCACAGACATTTTCTTTTGTAGATTCCATTCAACTGTTTTTCTGTTCTTTTTTTTTTAAGGTCTTGCAACCCTGAACACTCCAGTATTTTCATTATTACTAGTTGTGCCTAATGATCTATATGTGTCACACTGGATTAGATTAGGTTATTTTGTATGCAAAGGTCTGCCCTCATTGATAGGTTTAAAATTACTGTGCTTGTGCAACCCGTTCTCACTCCCAAAGCGTAACATTTTACGCTAGGTGACAAATCGTCACCATATTACGTTTTCGGCTACCCACCACGTTCCTAAATGACGACCTCGGAAAAATGAGGAAATATGAGAACCGTCTGGACTGAATCTACACATGTTTGCTCTTTTTCTTCAAATCGCTTAGAAACACGCTATTTAACATCATTAAAGTCCTGGTTAAGGCCAGGAATAAGGTTATGGTCAGGGCTAGGGATAAGGTTAGGTTTATGGCTGGAATACAGGGCTGGAACATCTATTACCGCAGGAGGGTCATTGCACTGGATTCCAGCCATAACCCGCCCCGTACCATAAGAACGCCGAAGGTCTCCTTTCGCGTTCCTCAGGAACGCTGCGGGACGTGGCAAAACGTCGACATGTTACGCCTCAGGAGTGAGAACGCTCTGGCTTGTAAGATACAGTAGTTTTTGTGGTTGAATAGAAACCGTTAAAGTTCATAAATTCTTTTTTTGTGGATGCCTGGATGTTAAACTTAATTGTTACACCTGGTAGAGCAGCCACACTGATCATTTTATTAAAGATGAAAGAATTGAGATAGTTTGTAACTCTCAGTGATGTGGCAGTGTTTATTTGACTTTGGGAACTGAAGCAGAGTTTGGACCACGAAACAGCTAATTATGTCAGACTTCAACCGGATAGAAGCCTGAGTTACTGCTCCGCAGAATTTAAAGTTGCAGGGACTGGTTTTTGTCATGCAAAAACAAGACCCATTATGCATGTGTGTGAGTAATCCTAAAAAAAAAAAAAAAAAAAAAAAAACATTTTTAAGCATGTAAAAATAGTTAAATAACTTCTTCTGTTAAATATCTAAGAAATAGGCAAGGAAAAAAATCCTATTTTTTTTTATGTTCCATCTTCAGTTACTTTCACACAGTAGCATCTCTTGTTTTACCTCTGATGAAGCCTCACAAGTGTTAGCTTAATTTTGATACCAAGATTGTCACTGATACTTTAGTATGTAATGAGCTGGAAATCAGACATGGAAGGAAGTTGAACTGGTAGTCTTTCTTTTTTTAAATTGGATATGTACTTCAATGTGGAAAGTGTATACATCTCCTTTTTTCTCTCCTACCAGAGTGTATGGACCAATATACGCTAAGCCCCGTGAATTGATTCTCACCTGTTGCATTGTACATTGGCTGTCAAATCAGTCCAAAGCTGTCAGATAACATAGCTGAGAGCTTTAAGCTAAAGGAACTGCACATTTGGAATCAATGTTAATTATTCTTGAAGTTTCAGGAAAAATGCTCCAAAGAAGAAATGGCACACTCAAATAAAGACAGCAAGAACATGTTGCAATGAACGAAAAAAAAAAAATACATATGGCTTGAACCTCCAAATGGGAAAGTGGAAATTGTAAGGCAGAAATATTTCTTTTTCATATCTTTAGTACTTGCATACTGAACTTTAGCATTTAAATCTTTCAAACAGCGTGGGTTATTAAATAGCCCTTTTTAAGATCAAAAGGGAAAATTGAGGCACCTAGTAACGTGCATTCAACCGTCTGTGCAGGGAAAGGGTTGAAATCTCATACAAAAGAGCACATTTTAGTTTCTCACAGAAACAGGTATTTTATTTATTGTATGTCTTGTTTATAACACCATTAAAGACCTTTCTGCATGCTAGTTCCTCATCAGGGATCATAATAGTTTTAGCAAAGTGTCGGGGCCTCCATAAGCTGGAAAAAACAGGTCCATTCCTGTTTGTTACAAAAATTTCAAGTCTCTTGCACTATTTTGGAAGAATGGACAGTGTTAACGCTTGTTAACTGACTTGATAATGGTGGATTTGAGTGCTATCTAAAAGCACTGTTTTCCCACTACAAAGGAAATTTTAAATCTGTGACTGCAATGCAAATGCAGAAGAAGACCCATATTTTCACTTGCTGGTACGTCTGTGTAACACTAAAGTTCACACTCATCCTGAGACTTTATGATCCTAATTTACAAAAGCAGAAGAACAAGAAGAAAAACAGGGGTGTGAGGAAAACTAACAGAGACAAATGAACTCGCTGAACTGTAGACATAGACGTAGTATAAACTCCACAATTGCATCTTTGCAGCATGCAAAGGTACCCTTTGATAGACACTATCATTCGTATATGTTGCAATTTTATTAATGTCAATAAAATTTGCAAATAAGAGATACAAGGAAATTTTGTAGAAAGTTTATTATTATCAGAAGATATTTCACAAAGCTCCCAATTGTCCATTTGGGTTTCATTAAAATTAGAGAAGAAAAGTCTGTAGTGATAAGGATTCAACTATGTCACAGCAGCTCTGAATATAAATATACATAAAAACAACAACAACTTAAAAAAAAAAACCATCATTAATTAAATGCTATTTCATAATACCAAGTTGGTCTACACATATATAATGTGTTCAGCAGAACCTTTAGTGTATACATTTATTCAGAAAGGTTTTATTCAGTAAATCAGCTTTTTTCCACTTTTTGTTTTGTATGTTTTGACCTTTTTTATTGTTATTAAGATTTTTTTTAAATTATTCTCACTATCAAAACTGCACATAGAAACAGGTGGATTGAAAAGTGTTTCAAGAAACACATAGCATATGTTTCACTACTACTGACATATTAAGTCTGTATATCTATCAGGAGAATTAAATCAGTAAATCTACACACAATATAGGCTTTGTCTAAGTTTATCACAAGGATGATAAACCACCTGTCATTAGGTGTGGCAACACTTCACAGGATCCACAGCGGCAGGTCAGGACACTTCCCATTGGCCCACAGAGAAACCCACAACAACATCAGCCTGATCCCTCGGGGTCTGGCCACCATCTGCGCACATCACCCATCTTTGTCTCTGCTTACTGCTCCATTGTAGCCCCAGCTTCCACTTT